TGGCGCTTTGCAGCCGCGGTGCGCCCGGGCCATGCGCAGAGGTCGGGGCCTGCGCTCCCGCCCCATGCCGGCAGGGGCCGCAGCAGTGTCGCTGCTCTTCGCAGCATTGGGGGGGCGCACTCCGTGTGTCCACAGCCTCGGAGCCGTCGCGCTGCTTGTGGCACGGGGTGCTCGCAGCGCTCGCCCGCCCCCCTCCCCCCCCCCCTCCTGGACGCTCGTCTCCCCCTCCCCCCCCTCCCAGATAGCTGTGCGAAACGACCATGCCGCTGCAGCCGAGGAGGAAGGGATGGAAGAGGAGAGGGAGGCTGGCGGGATCGTGCTGAAGCACGCAGCGTCCGAATCCCACGCGCTAGGGCCTGAAAGCAGTGCATGCAGGTCAGAGAACCGTGACCAAGGCGGTTTTCGAGTCAGTCATTCATGCAGAATGCCAGCATTCGCCTTATGCATGGAGCGCGGACCAGCGGCAAAAAGGAGGGGGAAGGAAACGAAGCGGCAGGCAGTTAACAAAACACCAGCCCTGTGAAACCCTGCACTCTCCAGCCCTTGGAAAAAACAGCGCAGCGCAAGCCTGAACACGGAGTCCTGCCCGTGAGCTCACGCCGTGAGGTAGCGACGCGAGAGCACCGCCCCAAGCCTCCCGCCCGTCCACAAGTCGGGGACCCGAGCACCCCGCTCGACCACCGTACTGGGCACACAGTGCGAGCACACATGGGGCCCAGAGCCACCCCCTTCCTTCGGCCCGTATGCCAGATGGCACGCATCATGAGCCCCTCCCACGCCCGCTCTGTGGGTCAGCGAGACCCGCGTGAGAAATCCCGGGCGGAGAGCGGACAGAATCTCCTGGGCCACCGAATGGAACCCACCACCGCTCCTACGGGGCGCTTTTTGAGCAGCATCTCCCGGGCTACCGCATGGATCAGGAGAGGAAAAAAACACACAGACACAATTAATCGTCGATTCCCAGGAAAATATGCGAAAATATGGGAAGTGGTGGGGAAGACAAAAACCCAGAAAATATGGGGCATATTTTTATTTGTGTGTATTTATTTGTGTGTCCCAGGGCCCCTTCAATGGAGCCCACCACCACCCTGACAGGGTGCGCTGGAGCAGACCAGGCACTAGGCTTCCTCCGGGACGTGCACGGGCGGTGCCCCTGCCCGCCGCCCCTGCCTCGGGGGGGGGAGGAGAGGGCAGGAGGGAGATGATGGGGGAGAAGGATACGAAGGAGAGAGGGCAGGAGGGAGAGGAGAGGGCAGGAGGGAGAGGGGGAGATGAGGGGAGGGCAGGAGGGAGAGGAGAGGGCAGGAGGGAGATGAGGGGGAGAAGGATACAAAGGAAGAGGGTCGTTTGCCGGCCCCCCACACGGGCCGGGCCCACCCCCTGGGAGGAGACCCCGGTCGAGCTGTGCCACGCCATCGACCTCTCGCACTTCAGCTTCTTCCACAGAGGTCCCCTGAAGGAAGGGGGGGCACCACGGGCGCTCATCCTCCTTCCCCCTCCGCCATCCTCCTCCCCCTCCCTCCCTCATCGCCCGCCAGGGCACGGCCTTCATTGGAGGTTGGAGGCTGTGGCCGACCAGGAGACCGGTGTCGGTTTCGGTTCCTGTCCGTACTGTGCCACTGCGGGCCGGGCCAGGCGAAGTTTGGGGAGCGGCCGAAGGACGATGGCATGTCGCAGCCAGGGGGGGCAAGATCGGCAGACAAGTCTCCGCCTCCCTCCCAGCTTTATAGGCTCAAGTCGGGCCTGTCCCTCTACAGGAGGAATATTCAAGAACAGTCAGAAGATAGTATGGGGGCCATTTTCTTACTATCTTTGATCATGTTTGAGCATTGTTTAGTATTCTTTCCTTCCACAATCCGCCTGTCTGGGGGGACATGCCCGACCTAATCATAAGGCTCCGCCAGGGCCCAAAAGGGTGTTGAGATCTCTGGAAGGTCGGAGGTCTGGGTCTGGTTCTGGCCCCCCCGAGCACTCCCCTCCCAGAGTCTCAACATACAGTCGGGGCGCTGAAGAAGGAACCGTTTTCGTTGGGGCGGGGCTCAGTGTTCCTTGATAGTTTTACAGTGTTCCTCTGGTTTTTCCGCAGGTTCACATGGGACATCGAAATTTAACTTCTGGGAAAAAGAATTACAAGGAGCCTCGTTCCTGATTTAGGGTTCCTTAGGTCAACGCCCCGACGGTCTGATCCCAATGTAACAGTCATAGCAGTGGGGCACTCGAGGGGGTAGCCGCCGGTGATCGCTCCGTCGCCACGGGCCAGGACGCTCTCACTCTCACGCTCACGCCGGGGAGTGCCAGGAACTACAATGCGCATGCGGGTATCTTCGCGTCGAATATTTTTCTTCTGCATGACCATTTTGGTAGATCACCGAAGTACATGAAATCGGTTTATCCATGCGCGCGTACCTCTGGTGAGGCCCCGCGTCAACGAGCGGGAATAACCATTTCATTGTATGCGTCCGGTGATGGAGGCATGAGTTCGCGAAATCCCACCGAGGATTTTTTTTTTTAATTCCAGTGCTGGCGATAACCCACGGGGGGAATCTTAGCTTCCCTCTTGAGGTTGTGCCACCCGGTTGCGCTCAGAATGTGGTGCCGCGCGTACACGTGGAGTGCCCCCAAAAGTTTTTACTAAAGGGCGTTTTGACAAAGGGGTCGACCATTCTCAGGACGCGTTGTAGCCCAGTGTCAGTGTGGGTGTGTGAGTGTGTGTGTGTGTGTGTTTACCCCATTCGGCCTGTGCTGGTCATCGTTGCATCACCTTCGTCGTGTTGAAGGCCTTCGGTGGACTAGCTTTGGATCTGAAGGGACACATCCAGATTTCGAATGTAATGGTGATGCCAATAATGCATTGCCCCTTGCCTCCGTCATGCTGGCCCTGATGTGACAGCCTTTCTGTTCATGTGCTGTTTCGCGCTGGCCATGGGGCGCTCGAGTGACTAGTCTTTGAGAACACGCCTTGGCGCCATCGTTACTCTAGCCAGTGCTTCTTGAGCCACGACGCGTTTCCATCAGCACACATTATGTGCATACAGTCGGACCGAGGTATAAGATCGAGGTCGGTTCGGGGATGGTATCCAAGTGTTCTTCGTGTGTCTGTGTATGCGTGTGTGTGTGTGTGTGTGTGTGTGTGTGTGTGTGTTGGATGTTCTTGTGCTTCCTGGGGAGCTTACCCTTGCACATTATGTTTGTTTTGGCCGACGAGGGGTCTCGGGTTCTTGAACGGTGTTCTTCTGGCCCAGGTCCCGCTGTGCTCGAGAGGGGGGGGGGCTCTGCCAGTCTTCGAGGGGGTCTTCCCCTCCGCGCCCGCGGCGGCAGCCGCCCTCGCCCTCCCGCCGCCGCCGCCGATCCGCAGGCGGCGCGGTCGGGGGCGGAGGGAGCCGACGGCTCCGCCTTCTTTCGGCGGGGCGCCAGGTCGGCGACCGCAGAGGGTCTGGATGCGGTCGGACCGAGGTCGGGGGTCGAGGCCGATGCGGGGAGGGTGCCCTGAAGAGTCTTCGTGCTGGCTGGATGCGCTGGTGCATCCTTGGAGGGGGGCACCCTCGAGCGCTCTTCGTTTTGGGCCAGCGGGGGGTCTCATGCTCCCGAAGGGTGTTGTTATGCCCTGGGTCCGACTGTACGCCAGGATGTGGTTTGCGATCTGCGTCATGTGGGCGCGGGTCGGCACGAACGAAGTGGGCACGGAAAGAATGGACACCATGCCCAACAGCGCTTCTTCTTCTTCTTCTTCTTCTTCCCATTCTGTCCGCGCCGCCGCGGACGTTGTCTGGTTGTCTCTTTGAGGCAGGCGAACTTTAATCCAAACCGCGGCCGCTGTCGGTCTCAGACAACATTTGTTGTTGGGCATCGTACCTATTTTTCCGTACCCGCAGTCCCATGTGTCCTAGTGTCCTGGCAGTTTCCGTTGTGAGCAGGCCACATCACACCAGAGGGTATATTAACCACGCAGTTTTCGTTGTGACCAGATCACATCACACCAGAGGATATATAGACCAGACATGGCCGCGAGGATTGCTTCGGCAACAATGCAATTTTTTCCGTACCCATTTCAGGCACCACGCTGCCTTCGTCGGGCCTCCTCTAGGCGCGGCGGAGAATTCTGTCGAGGTCCTTGCCCGACCCTCGGGGCGCGTGTTGCAAACCACGTGTTTTGCAGACCGCACCCGTCGGAATCGCCGTTCCAGGGCGAGGACCAGGGGTCCGGTGTGGAACAGGTATGTGCAGATACCGCTGCACTTGCCCCGTTTTCACTTTTCTGGGCCTCGTGGGAGGCCCTTGTCGCCACGGCTGGAATCGCGTTCGCATTCTGGTCGCCCTCCTTGGAGGGGTCCGGGAGTAATTCGCGGTATCGGTATCGCTTGGTTTCCCCAAGGGGGGGGGTCCCTCACGAAGGGGAGCGGTGGTGGCGCCGTCCAATGCCCCAGACTTCTTTGCCCCGTTCCCCCTCCTCTTTCTGCGCGCCCCTGGCCGCCCCTGGTCTGCGCACAGGCCTCGGGCCCGTGTGCGCGGGCCCCTTCCTTCTTGGCCTACCTCTTCGGCTCGCCCGGCGCCTTGCCTCGCCCCGCCCCCCCCCCCCTCTCCAGGAGCGTTTTTTGGGGGAGGGGGGGAGGGGGGGAGAGAAAGGGAAGGGAGGAGGCGAGTGCGGGGGTAGGTGGGAGAGGGAGGGGAGGCAGCGGCAGGACGGAGGAGGGAGGGAGGGAGTGATGGCGGACGAGGGAGGAGGAGAGAGGAGGGGAGAGGATGAAGAGAGGAGGGAGTGAAAGAAGGCAAGCGGCAGGGAAAGGAAGGAGCGAAAGTGAGGAGAGAGAGAGAGAGAGAGAACGAGGAAGGGAGAAGAAGAAGAAGCGGCAACAAAAATGGATGGAGCGAAGGAGGGCGGGAAAGGGCAGGGAGCAGGCGGGGCAATAGGGCAGGAGCACATCAAGTTCCACAGCCGCACCATCGTCAGCCGCACCGAGAAGGGGAGGAGGACGGCGGTGCAGTTCGAGGAGAACCTTGGCATGTGCTACACCTGGGTCAACCCGCAGGCGAGCACGGGAGGGTCGTGCCGAGGCCACGCCGTGGCGCTCCCGGGGAGGTGGTCCTCTCGCCTTCGGCGCGCCTCGCCCGACGCGGCGAGGAGGCCGGCGAGCGCGGGACGGCGAAGGGTCCGCCGCCCGAAGGCTCGCGGAGGTGAGAGCCCGAGCCACGCGGGTCCCTCCAGGCCTCCTGGATGGGCTCGGAGCAGACGGGGTCGCGAGGATCGCGCCGCAGCGCCGAGGCATCGCCGCTGCGGCTCGAGGTGCAGCCCGTTCCGCTTGATCTGCTTCACGCCGATGCGTCGACGATGCATCGCCGGTGCATCGCCGGTGCGTCGCCGATGCATCGCCGACGTGACGGCGATGCGGCGCGAGCCTCCGACGCCACCCTGGGAGGCCTCCAGAGTCATAGCGCGGGCCTCCGGCCCTCTGTGGCGGCCGCCCGCGGGGCGGGCCGAGCACCCCGCGGGAGTTGCTCTCCGCGCGCGGGCCGCGGCTGCTGGAAGGTCGGGGGCGGCAGAGAGGGGGGTGATGACTGGGGGGTGCAAATCATGACTGGCGGCGTGTGCGCGGCCCAGCGGCCCAGCAGCCCATGATATCTCCCCAGATTTCATGGCGCCTCTTCTTATTTCATTACGTCTCTGGTTCCCCCGCTGGGCCGCGCACACGCCGCCGGTCATGATTTGCACCCCCCCTTCTCTTGGACACCCCCTCTTGGCCGCTCCCGAGAAGGCACCCCGAGGCCGAGAGCCCACGAAGGCAGCCGCCCCGGGTCGATGAGGGCGGGGGTCGGCCAGAGCGCCGGATCCTGCAGGATCCTGCGGGGCCAGGGCCCTGAGATCCTGGCGTTGCAATGTTTTCACAACGGGCGTTCTTGCTCCATTCCGGGCCCTGGGACCCTCACAGATCGGTCTGGCTCGAAAAATGAGGCAGACAGGTTGGGTCCGGGGTTTGGGTCGCGATTTTTTGCCATGTTGCAATTGTTCTGCAGCGTCGGATCTCAGGGGGCTGCACTGGACCGCTGGACCGCGTGGATGCTTTTCGCCGGGGTCGGCCTTCGCCCGGTTCGTGTCGCCCGGGTTTGCTTTCGCCCAGGTTGGCCTTCGCCCGGTTAGTTTTCGCCCGGGTTGGTTTTCGCGCCTGAGTTGGCTTTTTCGCCCGAGTTGGCTTTCGCCCGGGTTCGCTTTCGCCCTGGCTCGCTTTCGCCCGGGTTTGCTTTCGCCCGGGTGTCGCCCGGGTTGGCTTTCGCCTGGGTTGGCTTTCGCCCGGGTGGGGTTTCGCCCGGGTTGGTTTCCGCTCGGGTGGGGTTTCGCTTGGGTTGGCTTTCTCCCGGGGTGGCTTTCGCGTGGGTGTCCTTTCGCCGTTTCGCCCTCCTCTTCCTCCTCTCCGCCCCTCCCCCTCTCCTCCTCCGGCTCCTCTTGCCTGCGGCCGGTTGGCTGGAGCTCCGCTGCGTTCCCGCAGCAGCACTGGAAGTACAACCCCCCGCCTTCTTCCTAAACGGCCTGATCTGCACATGCACGCCGCCCTTGCTCAGGCCCCCCCTGGGGCCCGGGGTCGGTACGGGAGGACGGTGAGCCTGCCCGACCCGACCCGCCCGTTAGGGTTTACGCGTGCTCGCTCCGGCGTGCCCCACACTTTAGTGCCCTGCCTGCCCGACCCGACGCGACCCGCTCCGCCTCTTCGGATTCCTGCGTGCTCGCCCCGGCGTGCCCCCCACACGTCAGTGTCCCGCCCGCCCGACCAGACCCGCCCGTCAGGGTACGCCCGACACGACCCGACCTGTCCCGCCCGGGGTCCGCCTTCCCGACCCGACCCGCCCGTTCGGGTTTTCACGCGTGCTCACTCCGGCTGGTGCCCCGCCCGCCTGACCCGACCCGACCTGTCCCGCCTTATATATCTAGGGTTCGACCCGTCCGTTAGACTTCACGCGTGCTCGCTCTGGCGTGCCCCACATTTTAGTGCCCCGCCCGCCCGACCCGACCCGCCCGTTAGGGCCCGCCCGACCCAACCCGCCCCGCCCGTTAGGGTCCGCCCGACCCGACCTGGCCCGTCCCGCCCGTGAGGGCCCGCCAGCCCGACCCGACCCGCCCGTTCGGGTTCACGCGTGCTGGCTCGGGCGTGTCCCACACTCAGTGTCCCGCCCGCCCGACCCGACCCGCCCAGTAGGGTCCGCCCGACCCGCCCCGCCCCGCCCCGCCCGTCAGGGTCCGCCCGCCCGACGCGGCCTGCCTGTTAGGATTCGCGCGTGCCTGCTCCGGCGAACCGACCCCGGCGAGACGAGACCTGGCGAAAGCCGACCCTGGCGAAAGCCATTGGCGGCGAAAGCCAACCTTGGCGAAGGCCAACCCCAGCGAAAGCCAACCCCAGCGAAAACCAACCCCTGCGAAAGGAAACACGGCGAAACGAAGCCCTGCGAAAGCCAACCCCGGCGAAAGCCAACCCCTGCGAAATGAAATCTGGAAAGCCAACCCCGGCGAAAGCAAGCCCGGCGAAGCGAATCCCGGCGAAACGAAACCCAGGCGAAAGCCAACCCAGGCGAAACGCATCCGTGCCGCACTAGTGCGCAGGATCCTGCAAGGGCCCGGCTGTCCCGGGTCTGCATAGACTTGGGCCAGTAGAAGCCCGAAGAGCGAGACGCAAACTTGTTTGGGATTCAGGGTTCTTGGCATCGGACATGTGTGGGCTGTTCTTTACAAATGGCCCTCCCCTCGTCCTTCCCGCCACTCCCTCCTCCTCCTCCTCCTCCTCCTCCTCCTCCTCCTCCTCCTCCTCCTCCTCCTCGTGCCCCCCACCGAGCTCGGAAGCTGTTGCAATTCTCGGTGTCCAGACTGCGTCAGACAGCTTCGGATGGTTTCGCACATCGGATAGCTTCGGAGGCATCGCGCCGAGTCGAGGCAGGATGGGAGGGAAGATGCGGAGATGTCAATCATGAGCCTGTGTTTTGCCTGCACGATTACTGTAGTTTGATTGGGCGGCAAAAGGATCGGCGGGGGTGATGGATGGGAGCGTCTCGGTAGAGCTCCACTGTCTGCGGGACCGTGGAGCCAGCGTTGTTCGTCGGGGGCTTGCTCGAACGAGCACGGAACTCAGCAGGAGTCACGTCACGAGACGGGTCGCGCACGCGCGCCAGCGAGCACGCTCTTGCCACAGATGCCTCGGCAGTGCGGCACTCTCCTGCTCTCCGCTCCCGAGACCGGGAGCAATGCCGTGCCATGAGCTCAGCGGGCGGGTAATAGGATAGCCGACCCTCTTTGCGCTCCTCCTATTTTTCTCCTTCTCCCATTCCTCCTCAGATCCCAGGGGAGGAGGAGGAGGAGAAGGAGGAGGAGAAGGACGAGGAGGAGGAGGAGGAGGAGGAGGAGGAGGAGGAGGAGGAACGGTGCTGAAATCAGCTCGTGCGTGAGAGGCCAGAGGTTGGCCGCATTTTGTCGGCACCGGGACAGCCAGGGAGGCGCGGCATGACCGTGGGGCCATCGGGGCGTGCTCGCATGCCTCCTGGTTGCACGCTTGATCGCGACACTCCCCAGCGACGCGCCCATTCCTCCTCGTTCGTCCTCGTTCCTCACCTCCCTGCTCCCTCTTCCCCTCTTCCTGCGCCTGCTCCTTCCGTCCCTCCCCCTCCCTCCCCGCTGCTCCCCCGTCGCTGCTACCTCCCTCCCTCCCTCCTTCGTGCTCCTCTCCCGTCCGCCTCCCTCCAGGCCTTCCCTTCCGCTGCCACTCCCCTGCCAGCATTTCCCCTCCCTCCCCCCCGTCCCTCCCAAATAGACGGGAGGAGATCACTCAGAGGAGGAGGGGGAGGAGGGATTGGGAGGGGGGGCAGGAGGAGGTGGGCCCGTGTTGATGTTCGTCTCCTGCTCTCCGCCGCGCCCCGCGCCCCGCGCGAGGGCGTCGCCGCCGCGGTGCTGGTGGACGCGGAGTACCCACAGAGAGTGGCCTTCGGGCTCGCGTCCGAGGCCGTGCGGATGTTCCTGGAGCCCGCCCCCGCCCAGGGAGAGGGGGAGGAGGAGGAGAGGAGGAGGAGGAGGAGGAGGAGGAGGAGGAGGAGGAGGGAGGAGGAGGAGGAGGAGGAGGAGGAGAGGAGGAGGAGGAGGAGGAGGAGGAGGAGGAGGAGGAGGAGGAGGAGGAGGAGGAGGAGGGAGGAGGAGGAGGAGGAGGAGGAGGGAGGGAGGAGGAGGAGGAGGAGGAGGAGGAGGAGGAGGAGAGGAGAAGGAGGAGGAGGAGGAGGAGAGGAGGAGGAGGAGGAGGAGAGGAGGAGGAGGAGGGAGGGAGGAGGAGGAGGAGGAGGAGGAGGAGGAGGAGGAGGAGGAGGAGGGAGGAGGAGGAGGAGGAGGAGGAGTAGGAGGAGGAGGAGGAGGAGGAGGCGTAGGACGAAGAGGAGGAGGGGAAGGAGGAGGAGGAGGAGGAGTACGAGTACGAGGAGGAGGAGGAGGACCAGTGCCCAGGGATCTTGCAATACTGCCTCCCTCCAAGATCTTTCTTCACAGGCCCCTTCAAGGGTTCATCTTCACTAAAGGAAGTGACCGCTTGGAACACAACCGTTTGAACATCCGGAACTGTGCCAGGACATCGTTCTCTGGATTTCAACGCCGCGAATCACCGTGACTGTATCGTCTTGAAGATCTTGAGTCGCGCCAGAACACCATTCCTGGGACTTCAACACCGCGAATCAACGTGACTGCTGCGCCCTGACATCCCGCCATCGTGCACAACATCTGGGACATTAACCATAACCATAAGAGTCTTGACACTGTTGTAAGCTCTTAGTAAGAATGTGCGCGGCGCTAAGGCGAGAGCCCAATTTTGAAAAGGGACCGACCTCCATCCAGAATTTAAGACGAAGGTGCGCGGCGCTCAGGCGAGGGCCACATTTTAAAAACGGCTCGCCCGCCATTCGTGAAATTCTTGCAGCTGTTAACGACGAGTATGCGCGGCGCTGGTGCGAGAGGCACAGTTCGAAAAGGTACCGCCGACTGTTTGAGACGAACGTGCGCGGCGCTAGGGCGAGAGTCACATTTTGAAAACGCCCCGCCCTCCGTGTGTGCAATTGTTGCACATTGTCAGCTTAAGGATCATAAATGGTGAGGAAGTCTCAGGCGAAACGCCAGGCCCACTCCACGACACGTCTCGGGGGTGCGACAGGGAGGAATGAAGTGCATGCTGGATGGAGGAGGAAAAGGTTCTATCGACGGCCGCCTCCCCCACCATCACTGGGGACGAGCGAGAGGACAGGAGGAGGAGGAGGAGACACAAGAGAACGAGGAAGAACCTCAATTTTCGACTACGCCTCCGCCGACTCACCGCTGCTTCCTGCCCTTACGGTCGGGAAGTTTGACTCAGTGTGTCGCGCCGCTGGTTCTGGCCCACCACGCTTCGGCGAGGACGCTATCCACGTCGCGGCCCCCAGGCGCCAAAATCCCGAGCTTTCCCGAGCCTCCCGCCCCGCGGAGCCGAGCGACGCGCGATCCACTCGCAGGGCATAGCGTGTCGCTGGGGACGCCGCGGCGACACGCTAAGCAAAAGTTCCTGACCGTAGTCGTGGTTCAAGTGTTTCTCTTGACTTCCGGGCAAGTCTCATCTCCGCAGTTTTGATCTTGGGCTTGCACAGCCACACAATTTCAGTCTGCATTGATGAGGACCATGGCCGCGGGCATGACTATAATCGAACAAGGCCCCAATCAAACAATAACAGCGGCAAATGTGCCCGCAAGAGACAAACAAGACCACGATCGTAAAACAATTCCAGTGTAGCGTTGTGCTGTCCAGGGTGGGCTGGAGGAGAAGGAGAGGGGAAGGAGGATTAGGCGCAGAATCGAGCAGGGTTGAGCAGATCTTGCAAAATCATTGCGAGCACATTAAGTAGCATGGCGTCAGTTGCACGCGCTTTTGTTGTTCCTGCTTGCGTGTCCCCGCTTGTGCTCTGCATCATGAGACGCTGCTGCCTCTGACATCGCGCTCGCTGTTCTGGATTTGCTGTGTTGCTGTGTTGTGCTGCCTAGTCGTGTTATCGTTGCTGGACTTGCTTCCGAAAGAGGCGCTGTGTGTGTTCGTTGCAGGTCAAACCACTGTCTGATATTATCGTCAATGGGTGTGATGGTTTCCCTCGCGCGCATGTTGGTCATCTAACCACCGTCTCGAGATGATTGAAGCGTGTGCTCTGCGAGTTGACCTGGTTAGGGAGCGGGAGTGGACGCTGAGAGTGGCTCAGGAGTTTGCGCACGGCTTTGCATGAGTGATTCGGGGTCGGGCGTGGTCGGCCAGACCGTCAGGCACAATCCTTCACACTAGAACCGAGTCCGTGCAGCGATCCTTGTCGACCTCGAAGCGTCAAGATCCACGATTCATTTACCATCGTTTGGTTTGTGATAAACATTGCCCAGGAGCAGTTCGAGGGCAAGTGGGAAGGCGTCACGAAGGACCGGGGATTATAAACGTCGGCAGCATCGAGTCCTGCGCTCGGCCCATCATCCCCAGCATTCCCCATTGCGGCGGCAGCTCCTTGAAAAGCCGGTAGCTGCCTTGGCTGACGCTGTGGACGCGGGAGGGCATGCCTTTGCATCTCGGAGGAAGGAGAAGCAACACCACCAGGGGGCGCACCTCACCACCAGGGGGGGCACCTCCAGCGAGGAGTTCCACGATGCCTCCCCGAGCTGGAGGCCAGGGATGTCTCGAGCGAGAGGTGGGGGGACCACACCACCAGGGAGACCCCCCTTGCCTCCTCGCATCTCCTCGCCCTGCTGGTCTGTCGCCTGTCCTGGTTCCTGTGCACATCATTCCGCAGACAGCACGCGCAATTGGAAAGGCGGACGATGTTGCCCTGGAGCGCGAGGCCTTGCGCCCACGGGTGTGGTCAAGTCCAGGCGCGCCACGGTGCACATCTCCACGGAGTCGCAATCGGGAAGAGAGGGGCAGACCGTGTCAGCGCCGACCCCCAGGGATCTCCACCGGAGGCCCCCGCGGCAGCGCTCGCATGCCGCCCCTGCCCGACAATTTCGGCGTGGCCCCCAGGGAGCTCCACCGAAGGCACACATCCGTTTGCCCCCTCCCTCTCCCCTCTTCGATTCCCGCGGCGCAGGAGCAGGGCCCGGGGGCCAAGGTCGGACTGGGCCACTCTTCCTACCGAGGGTCGTCTCTTGCCGTGTAACCTGAGACCTCGGCCGCCTCCGTGGCCTGCCGCCGCTGATGGCCCGTGCCCTCCCGCAACGCGAACTGCCAGAGGCGGTCCTGTCCCAAGGCGACCCCGGTTGTCCCGGAAAGGCCAGGACGGCCTCGGGAGCACCCCTCGCGAGGCCCAGGCTCCTGTGACCCGTCCCCAGACTCGCTGGGCCACTGTATCTCGACCCCCCCCAGCCCACCCTTCAAGGCGGGGATGTGCCCCCCGGAAGCCGAGGGGTCAGGAGCCCTCAGGGAGCCAGCAGACGGGGTGACAGCAGGCGGGGTAACAGGAAACGGCCGGGTCGAGGCATCAAATGGCCTTTTTGTTGCAGTGCAGTTTTTCTGCGTTGCAGAAACATGCAGTGTTGTTTGCTCTGGGCGTTGCCGTTTTTCCAACTGGATCCCATGTTGGGTCTGTTACCCCGTTTAGGCGTGACCCGGTTTAGTGCTCCCTGGATCCCCACCGAGGTGGACACGTCGGCAGCTGGAGCCAACGCAACGCAAGTGGGGACAGAGACCGGTCACAGGGTGCCCACTGAGGGCCCCACCGGCGGTCCAAGCATGTCGCGCAAACATCAGTCAGAAGGGAACAAAAACACAGACACAATTGATCGCCGATTGCCAGGGAAATATGGGAAAATATAGGCTGTGGGGGGGAGGACGGAAACCCAGAAAATGTGGGGAAGTGTGAGGCATCTGTTTATCTGTGTGTATTTATGTGTGTGTCCCAGGGCCCCTTCATGGTTGGTAGGAATGGGCGCCGCCTGTCCAGCCGGCCATCCCATCCGGCTCGGCCAGCCCACTGGCCACCCTTCCTCCCAGGGGTCGCGAAATGGTGTGTGGGCATCTCATGGCCAGGGCTGCTTAATCTCCAGGGCTTCATCCCCCCCTTCTTTCTCGTTCACTGCATCCCCTGGCTTCCCCCCTTCATTCGCACACACGCTCTGGGCCATGACGGACAGTAAACGGGACTCGGTCCCCTGCCGGTTGCCCAGTGCCGCCATCATAGGCAACCACCGGGGCCATCCTAGGCACCTCGCACACAATACATCACAAAGGCTCGTTATGGTAGGAAGGACCATCATAGGCCTTGGTTCAATTTCTTCTGTGAGTGCAATTCTTTACGCTTCGCGTATCCCCACCAGCCCATCTCACAACAGCAACTCATGCGAAGCATGGCGACAGTCGTGTTTTTCAGGCGTGTGTCCGTTTGGCCCCGCATATCTCCCCTGTTCCTCCTTCCTCCCGCCTCCTTGTACATCCTCCTTGTGGGGGGAGCGGGAGAAGGACGAGGCGGAGGAGGAGGGAGAGAAAGCGCTCCTCGTGATTTGAGTCGTTTGGGGTTTCTCGTCCTGGTGTGAGTCGTTCGGGCCCTTCTTCCTGGTGTGAGTCGTTCGGGCTCTTCGTGGTGTGAGTCGTTCGGGCTCTTCGTCCTGGTGTGAGTCGTTCGGGCTTCTCGTGGTGTGAGTTGTTCGGGCCCCTCATCCTGGTGTGAGTCGTTCGGGCCCCTCCTCCTGGTGTGACTCGTTCGGGCTCCTCGTGGTGTGAGTCGTTCGGGGCCCGCGTCGTGGTGTGAGTCGTTCGGGCTCCTCGTGGTGTGAGTCGTTCGGGCGCCTCGTCCTGGTGTGAGTCGTTCGGGCCCCTCCTTGTGGTGTGAGTCGTTCGGGCTCTTCGTGGTGTGAGTCGTTCGGGCCCCTCGTCCTGGTGTGAGTCGTTCGGGCTCCTCGTGGGGCCTCTTGGGGGCCTCTTGGAGCCTCTTGGGGCCTCTTGGGGGCCTCTTGGGGGCCTCTTGGGGGCCTCTTGGGGGCCTCCTGGGGCCTCTGGGGGCCTCTTGGGGGCCTCTTGGGGGCCTCTTGGGGGCCTCTTGGGGCCTCTTGGGGGCCTCTTGGGGGCCTCTTGGAGGCCTCTTGGGAGGCGCCTGGGGGCCTCTTGGGGCCATCTTGGGGCCTCTTGCGACCTCCTCAGAAGCGCAAAGAAGCGCTGCCCCCTGAGAAGGACACAATGAGCCCAAAACCTTCGTAAAATCAATGGTTCTGCTATGAAGGAAGATGAGCGCGGCCCCCTCGGGAGGCCAAAATGGAGCCAAAACCATAGTAAAAGCAAGGATTTTGGCTTCACAGAAGAGGAGAGGGTTTTTTCCCCGACGGGGCCAGAATCCTCGTGAGGGTCGTCGTTTTTTGGCCCTCCCAGGAGTCGAAGAAGACCCCTCCAACTACCCGCGGGACGCCCTCTCCAGGCCCAGGGGGAGGGGGTAGGGGGAGGGGTAAACCCCTCCCCGAAGGGGAAGAAGGGGGGTTGAGGACAGAGGGGGCTCTCTAAACCACTCACGCCCTAAAGGGCTGGTGGGATTAGTAGTACGTGGGGGAGAACCACGCGTGCGAGCAGCAGCGCGAGTACTACCAGCACGACAGGATCTGCAGCACCGCGGCGACGCACGCGTATTGCCAGCACGATTGGGACTACCAGTACGGTTGGGTGCAGCAGCACGATTGGCACCTGCGGTGACATTGACCTCGGGGTTTTGTCAGATTTGAGAGTTGAGGGCTCTGTGCCCTTTTCGTGTTGGCGGCTTTGGGCCGTGTGGGGGTTGCTTCTGTGGGGTTCGCGCTGCCTCTTGACGGGTTTCCCCCAGCGAGTAAGAAGAATCTATCTTTAACAAAAGCATATGTCCCCGCCTGTGGACCCCCCGCTCCTTTGAATCAAAACCCCTCTCATACTTTGGCCGTGGAGGAAATTTTAGTCACTCTAGCTGCCCTTTTCAGGTATCCATCCCCCCTCCTCCCGGCGAGGAGCATCATAGGATCATAGACCTTACCAGTGAGGATCGCCAGGAGGCCTCACACCCTTCGAAGCTTCCAGCATAAGGGCTGCGTTGGTCGAACAAAATCCCCACGAACCTGTCACCGTACGTGCAGTGCGGGGAGTGGCGGCCAATCTTCCCATCCCACCGTCGTAGGGGGATGCGAAGTCCCTGAGGACAGGACGGGGTGGGCACGAGTTGGCCTCATAGCCAGCTCAAAATCCAATGAGGATCACAGCCTCACCATTGACACTCTTCATTGGCATTGCCTCGGAGGTTGATAGACCTCCTACCCCGACACGCCGAGTAGCGAATTGGCAGTTTTCGGTTCGCGAGAGGGCGTCGCGGCCGTCATTTTTGCGGGTCCAGGTCCGTCGGTTTCGGTCCCAGGCCGTTATCACGACATGGAAGTCTTTTTAAAGGGAGGCTTGTCCACCGCCGATTACCCATTTTCATGCGCAGCACCATGCTCTCCCCTTTCCCCTGGCTCCCCCTCTGGGGCGCACCCGATTCCCTGGCTACCACGGCCGGCCCGGCCGGCGGACGGGGCCGCAGCCCAAGCCAACGAGCTCACGACTTCTGCGGCGGGGGGGGGGCGCGGCCATCCCGCCGCTGGCCAGCAGGACCCCAGGCAGGCCACCGCTCCGCCCCGCCGGCCCCGGCCAGCCGGCTCCAGCCAGCCTGGCCCAGCCCAGCAGAGCTTGTGAAGGGGGCAGGGTGAGCGGGAGGGACACCAGAGGATCTGAGCTCACCTGGCCTGCAGCTGGCAGAGGGGGCGGAACGCCAGCACTTGGTGGCGCAGGGAGGGGCGAAGATAGGCGATGAGGCGACAGTGACGGTGGAGATAAACAGTGATGTGCAGGAGGAGGCGGAGGATTAGGAGGAGGAGGAGGAGGAGGCGGAGGCGGAGGCGGAGAATGGTGAGGATAAGGACCGAATAGCAACAGCAGCAGCAGCAGCAGCAGCAGCAGCAGCAGCAGCAGCTTCCCAAGGGGAGCGGGGCACGCGGAGCGGGGGAAGCGGGCACACAAAGAACAGGGGCACATGGAGTACGGGGCGCGCGGCTGCGAGAGCATGCGGCTCACGACAACGGCGGTGGTGGGGTGGCGTGCGGAACGGGTGGGTCGGACAGGTCGTCCGTGCACAGCCGACCAGGAGGTCTTTCACTGAGGTAAAGTTCAAGGTGACCCGAGGAGGCAATATGTTCCTGGGCTACGGCCCAGGAGCAGGGTCCGCGCGTTGTCGTTTGCTGTGCTCTCTTTCGCCCCGCTGTGGACACCTGCTGGCGTGCTGCTCCTGAGCTGCTGCCCTGGATCCGTCAAGCTGACCTGGCAGGCAGAGAAAGGACGGCCGTACCATGTGGCGGCGTGAGGGGTGCCAGATGCGATGCGAGCGCGCGTGGGTGCACCTGGCTGGCACGAGTGGGAGGGTCCTTTCCTTCCTTCCCATCTT